ATCTGCTTTGTGTGTGTGTCAGGAGCAAACTGAGAAACTGCAAGTCGCTTCTGGTGTGAGAGAATTGGCCGTCTGCAAGGAACTTGCCCAGGGAATGTCCAGATGTTTTCATGTTTTATCATCCTTGTGGGAAGCTTCTCTCAAGTCCCTGCATGGGGAGCTGGAGCTGACATAGGGAGCTCATCCTCACTCTCCCTGGATTTGAACCTCTAACCTGTCGGTCTTCAGTCCTGCTAGCACAAGGGTTTAACCTATTGTGCCTATAGACATCTGCTGAGATTAATATTTAGAGCACTTCTATAAATGTACTAGATTTTGTTGCTCCAGAAAGAGCGCTTTTACAATTAAAAACAGTTTCTTGTGTGATGATTCAGAATACTAAAAACTTTTTAAAAATAGAAACCAAGAAAATTGTCAGAATTTGTAGCATTTTTGCCTGAAAATGTGGGGTTAGGAGGAGTGATGAGTGTACATTTTGGACTCACCTTAGGCATTCCTGTTTGTTGTACTCCTGCTCATCTTGCATTTAGTGCAAAGTATTCGGAGTAAAGGCACCTGGAAGTTTCTGTCCAATTAGAAACCAGTCTCATCAGGCCATATAACTGAATATTTATACTTGTATTGCCACTTAAAACCACAGGGTTGTCTTGCACATACTTTGAATCCTGATGTGTTCAAGCAAATAGGGGTGCTTGTCTCCAGAAAATCTTGATACATACATCATCGGCGGGACGCATGTCTTTTTCTTCCTCCAAACACTGCCATGATAATTTTTTTCTGAAAAGTTTAATCTTCTGATCTGTCTGTAAGAGGAATGTCTTCAAGATGGGCAAAATGGAGAGGAGGTCAAGAGAGCAGAACAAATTGCATTCCTTTCCTAAACGGTGTGGAATTTAAATAATACCTTTCAGCGGATGTTTTGACCACACGCAGGAGGCAGGCTTACAGTGGATGTATCCTAACCTCAGTTGCTTCACCAGAGCCATAAATCAAAGCAGCTTTGGAAATACTTATCCATTCATCAACCCCACCCACACAGCCAGGTGCTGTGACTTGTCGTGGCACTTGTGGCTTCATTTTGTCTTTGGCAGAAGGGGAACTAGTGAGCAGTGACAGGAAACGCTTGCCCTGTCCTCTTTTGCTCAACATATTTGCTGATGTCAGACTCTGAAGAGTGAGGGAGCATTTCTCTTCTCTGTTATCATTCTGGTTTTTTCACACATGTGTATAACCAACATACTGTGCCCTAAAATTTAATATACAAATGACTTGTGCTAATTTCCTAGCCTGTTCACTGTCACACTCAAAGTATATGAGTGTGTAAGAAACAGACATCATAGCTGTCAATTAACAGATACTTTTTTCCAACTTTTTTTCTCCTGTTAACCGAATCTGATTAATGGGTTCTGGTTTTAAAAGGATGGTTTTTAAGTTGGCATTGGTATAGTCTTATATTCTCCTCTGTTTGTGTATTATTTAATAATCCTTTCCCAGTGATTGTCTGAAACCAGAATGTATTTATACGTTGTATTGAAGGAGTAAACTGCATCCAAAGGGAGTCACAAGAAACATCAACTGATGAAAAAGTCACACAGAAGAAGGAGGAAGAATTTTACCAAACACATTGGTTTCCAACAATGCAAGAGCAGTGTGACAAAAATAGGATATATTTAATAGTAGATTGAAATAAAAAAAAATCTGTGAAGAAATTGAAGTTGGCAAACCAAGAAAATAAAATACCACTAGCCTTCACTGATAGCACTAAGTCTATGCTCCAAGGACCATAGCAACCTGAGATTTAGAAGGGACAGGGTCTTCTTGCCAGGCTAGATGTTTCACCGATAGCTCCCTCGTTCTCTCATCTAACAGCAACAGAAAGTTGGAGAAAGTAGCAATGGTGGCTAGTCCTCTTCCACAGACTGGGTTTTGAGCATCACACCTTTGCTATTCTTTCTCTTGGATGTAGCATGTTCAACTTGAGAGTCCAAGTACCTTTGACATATCTGATAATGTATCAGGTTTTTTGTCATGTCAGTAGCAAATTGAGAACATACTGCAAGTGACTTCTGGTGTAAGAGAATCAGCCATCTACAGAGACGTTGCCCAGGGGATGCCCAGATGTGTTATCATCCTGTGGGAGGCTTCTCTCATGTCCCTGCGTGGGAAACTGGGGCTGATAGATGGGAACTCACACCGTCTCGCGGATTCAAACCACCGACCTTTAGGTCAGCAGTTCAGTGGGCACAAGGATTTAACCAATTGCACCACTGCGGCACAGAAGAGTTATCTGTCCTCTGTTACTAGATTTTTAACCAATTAATTAGATTGGCACCCTCCTTGCTATACTTCTGTGGGCAGGTGAAGACAATTTTTGTTTCAGTTGACGCTTTGAGGTTGACTGTGGGAAAAGGTATTTTATAAGGTGTTGTGTTTTCTATATTATTGGTCTGCTTTTTAATGCCCATGCTTTTTACTCTAATAATAATTCAACTATATATATTGTATGATGTGGTAACTACTTTAACCTTTGTAACCAACCTTGTGTCCTAGACTGGGAAAAAGGTGACAGGATGATGATGATAGTTCTGCATGTGCATCATACTTTTAGATGTACAACTTAGCATATCTAGCAACTTTCAGATATGTGCCTTAGTACACAAAATAAATATACTAATGCAGGAAATTCATTTGTTTCTAATAGTGCCTTCATAAAGATGATAGTTCATACATTTTACATTGTACAATAATTTTATCATTAGGATCACAACACATCATAAGGAATTAAATTAAATGAGAGAAGATTATGCTTAAAAGATAAATAAGGTGTAAAGATACAGATCTCTCATTCAGTCCAATTTAAGAACAGTTTACTTCTTTTAAATGTGGTAATGATGAGCAGAATACTAAGTTGACCCATCAAGTAATCTGATACAATCTGCAAATCCATATCTTATCTACCAGTAGAAAGCAACTTGCAGATAGTGGGTTAAACCCAGCTTTTATATGTTGGCGCAGATAGCTGCAAATGTCTTTTTTTTTTTTTTACAAAAAATGCAGGAGTGAATATCCTCAAAAGATCTATAGCAGGGTCCTCAAACTTTTTAAACAGAGGGACAGGTCACAGTCCCTCAAACTGTTGGAGGGCCTCATTATAATTTGAAAAAACCATGAATGAATTCCTATGTAGTGCAAAAAAACACTTCAAATTGTTCTTCATTTTAATTATTGTATTGCTTTTAACAAATATAAACTTGTTAGTATTTCAATGGAAAGTATAGACCTCCTTTTGGCTGATGAGATAGGATTGCTGCTGTTGTGTGCTTTCAAATGACCTTGGAGGGCCATCCGGCCCCTGGGCCTTAGCTTGAGGACCCCTGATCTAGAGGGTTGTATATTCTATCCCCTGGACATTGCAAAGATACACATGCATCAGATGCCCTGGTGACATCCCCCCAAAATAGTTGCATTTTAAAGTCATTTGAGCCATGTAAATGATTTTACAACTCTTTGGTGTCTGTAAACTGAACATGTAGCTAATGTGAAGTTCCCTTTTCTATAATTTATACTGTATTGTATAATATTTTGCTATATATATGCCAATAAAGGCTTATTGGATTGGTGTCTCTTGGCCATTTGAGACCCAGGAAACAGATTTTTTATAAACAGAAAAGGAATTGAATTTGCGAAAATGTGTGTGCCATTACCTGTTAAAAAATACAAAGGAATTGCTAACTATTGAAACCATTGACCACATTTTGCTCACCACTGAGATGGGAGATTTTGGGCTCTAAAATTGATTCTTACCTGATTTTTGAAGGTATGGTCAACAACCAGAAGTATATTTGCTTATTCCTCGAAACATTTGTTGTCCTGTACTTCTCATCTCAATAATAGTTGGTGGGTTTCATGCAAGTATGTTTTCAACTAATGAGTAAGACATAGGTTGGGCTACTTGCTTCATATTTGCCCCTGGCCTGATCTGTGAATCTGGCTTTCAGCTCCCAGAAATCGTAACAACTGGTAAACTGGCTGAGATTTCTGGGAGTTGTAGGCCAAAACACCTGGGGACCCACAGCTTGAGAACCACTGGTCTTGACATTCTTGAAGAGAGACTCACAGATGTAGTTTTTCAGCAGCAGCACTCATTGATTGACAGGTTCATTCACTATCTGGATGAAACCGAGAGCCTTTTAAAGCACAGATTTCAGCATCCATATTGTTGTGACTCAGCTGGAATCACAGAGTGATAATGTCAATGAGTCTGATGAGGGTGATGGGATTCAGATTCACAGTCAGGTGCAAAGCGATGTGATAGACYAGGAAGAACAGGGTACAGAAGTTCAGTMGTTTCTCACAGCCAGGGATGATGCTCTTGATAGTGAAACTACTGAAAGCCAGGCGCATTTTGATTCAGGAAGGGAGGACAGTTGTTCTCAGCCAGATAATGAGCAAGAAAGCACTAACAAACAGATTGACCTTGATGAGGCTGGAGCTTTAGATTGAGCTGATCGTTTGGAATTTGAGGTARGAAGAAGTGTGAGAGAGAGGGAGGCCAAGGGCCAGAGGAACGCCTTCATGTTTTCCAAAGGGTATTAAACAGGCTGTTTGAAAATACCCCAGTGTCAGAGCAACTTCTCGCTTCAGCCACGAGACTTAGGATTTATCTTGCAGTTTTCATGTTCATGGTTTCAGGACTTTGTCATGTTCTCATGGGACTTTGCCTTGCTTATATCTTCATGGATCCTGTTTTCCAGTGTTACCTTATATTGATGTTTGGAACTATGGTTTTGCCTTTTTGAACTTTTTATCTTTTACTTTAATAAACCATAAATACTATTTCTTGTGTGCTGTTTGGTGTCTGAAGCAAGGTGATTCTACTCTGAGGTGCGACACATATATTAACAATTTATAATAGCTGGTGTGAAGTCTCTTATGCTTGTTGGAAATAGTCCATAGTTTGATGAATTTGTGCAACTGAAATTATGTTCTTCTCTTTCCAGATGAAGCCGATTATGGTAACTTTGGTTCAAACACTTTAACCAGAAAAAAGAAGGCACTGGTGACCCTCCGGAATGACAATCTTCGCAAGCGTCCCCATGTTAACATTAGCATGCCTCAAGACTTTAGACCAGTTTCATCCATCATCGATGTGGACATTCTGCCAGAAACGCACAGGAGAGTAAGACTGTATCGACATGGCTGTGAGAAACCATTAGGATTTTACATTCGGGATGGGACAAGTGTAAGAGTAACTCCTCATGGGTTGGAAAAGGTACCTGGCATTTTCATCTCGCGGATGGTTCCTGGTGGTTTAGCTGAGAGTACAGGTTTACTTGCTGTCAATGACGAGGTCCTGGAAGTAAATGGCATAGAAGTTGCAGGAAAAACTCTAGACCAAGTAACGGACATGATGATTGCCAACAGCCATAATCTTATCATCACTGTCAAACCAGCAAATCAAAGGAACAATATCATCAGAAGCAGCCGGATGTCTGGGAGCTCTGGCCAATCGACGGATAGTACCACAAGTCACCACAGTTTGCCTTCCACTCACGTCTTGCAAAACTTCCACCCGGATGAAATGGAGAGCGATGAGGATGCTGACATTGTCATTGAGGGCTGTCTGGAGCCTCAGCCCATTCCAAAATCACATAGCCTTCCTTCCGGTAGCCTTTCCCGACTTAACGGCAATAGTCTTAGCCCCAAAGTACAGAGGGACCTGGTAATCAACAACAGTTTGGGACGGGAAAGCAATGGAAATATTCACAAAATTTTAAGTTCCTTAAAATCTGATCCTCGCCATAGCTTGGTTCTTCCCAAAGGAGGCATTGAAGAGGATGGAACGGTGATCACACTTTAATGGTTTTCCCAAGTGTGTGTGTTTCTAGTCTGAAGTGCCAACTGGAACAAATCTAGCCACACACTGAAGAAAGACAGGACCTTTATTCTCAAGGACCTATTGGTGTGTGAGATGAGCTGAGCTTTCCAGAAAGGATGGTGTTTGCAGTTAGACATCAAAGGGTCACCTACTGCAACCCAAGAGAAAATGTAAATATGATTTTTGGACCCAGAATAAGGGATGGAATAATCATCTTTTTTTAAAACAACTCCTATGAAATCCCTCTGGATAGGTTGCTGAAAATGCTGTCTATTGAATTACGTATCTGCTGCATTTATGAAGGTGCCCTGCCACCATACATGGAAATGGGTGTATATTTGGGTGATAAATAACTAAACACAGTGAACTTGCAATAAGCATTAATAAATTAATATGGGGGGGGTGGGTGGGGATTATACGAAAATGTTTTAAGTTTTGAAAGTTGATTTGTTTTGCCCATGCCTGTCTTAGACACATGTTATGACTCTTCTAAGACATTATAAGAATTCCATCTAATTTGTCTTGCTGTTTAAAATTAACTTGAACCCATGGAGTCTTTAATCTCAAAAGCGGATCCTTCTCTTTTGATATATATTGTTTGACTTTTTGATCTACTTTGTTAAAACTTTGGCCCTGGACTCTACAATTCAGCAATATATTAGATGTTTTGAATAAGATTTATTTTAAATTATCATTATTGTAGTTCTCTATAAGTTATGCCAGTAAAACTATTCCAAAAGGAGGGGAGTTTGCTCCCAGCTCCGTGTTTCTGTTTGGTAAAATGCCACAAGTTGTTAAAATGGTTTAATAGAAAAAAAAGAATATATTCATTAAATATTTAGGAAGTTTTTTTATTGTTTTACAATGTATTTTTCTACTTTTAGCTGTCATTATTGTTTTTTTACTGTGTAGTGCTGTGTATTAAAGTGTTTCTAAAGGAATGTGCTTTCTCTAATTTATAGTCCCAATCCCTTATACCCCATTTCTTTGTACTATGCAGGGTTTAAACCCTTGAAGGGTTGATAAGGCTTTTTATTCTTGTACTTGAAATAAAACTGTAGAAATGTTTATATTGCTTAACTCAGAACCTTTTTTTAAAAAAAAAAATTACTTATTTTATTTTATCCATGTTTAATCTGGCTTTCTCCCAGTTATAGGACTCCAGGTGGCTAACAGCATATTTCAATAAATACAAATTAAAAAGTATACAAAAACATTAATAAAAATATAAGTTATATATATATATGTATGTATATGTATAGTTAATACAGTAAACATTAAAACATTAACATTTATTAAAAGACAATATACAGCCCTTAAAAGCAGCATGGCACCACATCAAAAACCCAGCCCTAAAGATAAAGGTTTCCCCTTAACATTAAGTCTAGTCGTGTCTGATTCTGGGGGGTGATGCTCATCTCCATTTCTAAGCCGGAGAGCTGGCATTGTCCATAGACACTTCCAAGGTCATGTGGCCGGCATGACTGCATGGAGCACCGTTACCTTCCTGCCAAAGCGGTACCTACTGATGTATTTACATTTGCATGTTTTCTAACTGCTAGGTTGGCAGAAGCTGGGGCTAACAGCAGGAGCTTACCCTGCTCCCCAGATTCGAACCACCAACCTTTCGGTCAGCAAGTTCAGCAGCTCAGTGGTTTAATGTGCTTCACCACCAAGGGCTATCTAACACAGCCCTACTCAGTTTGTAAAAGCCTAATGGCTCAAAATATTTTCACTGGGCATAGAAATAAATTGGCAGCCAGTAGAGCTTTTATAATAAGGAAGTTGGGTGCACCGTGTTGCTAGTAGCCCCAGTTAACAACCTACCTGCAGCCCTTTGGGCCAGTTGACATTTCCAAACAATCTTCAATGGCAGCCCCATCCTACAGCACATTGTAGTAATTGAAAAGGACTATATCTAAGGAGTGTACCACTGAGGCTAGATGTAACTTCTCCAAGAACCAATGCAATTGACACATTAGTTTTAATTATACAAAACTTCTGGTCACTGCTGAAACCTGGACCTCCAGGTTCAGAGCCAAATCCAGGAGTACACCCAAGCTGCCAACCTGCGTTTTCAGGGGGAGTATGATCCCCATCTAATATAGGCTGAATCTCTATTCCCAGATGTCTTTTGACTAACCAGGATAACCTCTGTCTTGTCTGGATGAGGCTTCAGTTTATCAATTCTCATCCAGTCCATTACAGTTGAGGAACTCCACAGGACAATGGTCAGGGAGTCCAGGCGTCTTCCAGCACCACCATCCGAGAGCTCCCCTCCAAGAAGGAATGAAGCCACTAACAACAGTACGTTCAAGCCCCATCCCAGAGAGGCAACTTAGAAGATACCATAGTCAATGATATCAAAAGCGACTCAGAGAGCCAGCAGAACCAACGATGACACACTCTCCTGCCTAGTTTCCTGCATAGACAGTCCATCAAGATTACCGTTCCATAACCAGGACTGAAACTGATCCTGATATTCCACATCATCTGGGAATCCATAAGATTGAGAAGCCATTGCATGCTCTAGTACCTTTCTCAAAAACAGAAGGTTAAAAGTTTTCTAGTATTGAATGGTTCAGGAAAGATTTTTACATCCCTTCCCTCACACAAGTTAGGACCCTGCCTTGTTGTAAAGGGGCATTAATGACACACTCAGACAGTCCTCCTGATCTGATTAATAAGCCAGAAGGGCAAGGGTCTAGTATATGGGATGGCTCTTACTTCTCCTAAGATTGTTGTCCTCATCATCTGGTTGCACAATGCAAAAAGTGTCCATCAGGACTGGACAAGGTTATATCCATTAGAATTATATCAACTGTGGTATGTCAGAATAAATCTAAGCAATTTTATCAGTGAAATGGTGGGCAAATTCTTCACAGAGAGCTCTGGTTCTGTTTATTCGTTCAGTCGCTTCCAACTCTTCGTGACCTCCCTGTTGACCATTACCACCCCCAGCTCCTTCAAGGTCAAGCCAGTCACTTCAAGGATACCATCCATCCTCTTGCCCTTGTTTGGCCCCTCTTCCTTTTTCCTTCCATTTTCCCCAGCATCATGGTCTTCTCTAAACTTTCCTGTCTTCTCATGATATGGCCAAAGTACTTCAACTTTACCTCTAATATCCTTCCCTCCAATGAGCAGTCAGGCTTTATTTCCTGAAGTATGGACTGGTTGGATCTTCTTGCGGTCCAAGGCACGAATTTTCCTCCAGCACTACAGTTCAAAAGCATCTAAAGTTTGGTTCTGTATGGATACAAAGATATTAGCCTGTTTTTTGGTCAGACTCGCTATATGTTTTCTGTTACTGCCAACTCTAATCTTTCTCATTTGATTAATGTGGAGCCCCCGGTAGCACAGTGGGTTAAACCCCTGTGCCAGCAGGACTGAAGACTGACAGGTCATAGGTTTGAATCCGGGGAGAGTGCGGATGAGCTCCCTCTATCAGCTCTAGCTCCTCATGTGGGGACATGAGAGAAGCCTCCCACAAGAATGGTAAAAACATCAAAACATCTGGGCGTCCCCTGAGCAACGTCCTTGCAGATGGCAAATTCTCTCACACCAGAAGTGACTTGCAGTTTCTCAAGTTGTTCCTGACATGACCAAAAAAATTGTTTAATTGCTACCAGCTCCTTATAAAACTAGAGACTGGTTTGGCTCCATGAGATGGCCAACTTAGAAGTGATTGTATCCACCCTGGCGATATTTCCCATTCCAGAGATCAGCCAGGGCTTCGTCCACCTGCCAAGGCTGCAGGAAACTCCCCAAGAGCCATGAGACCCATCTGGGCCCATAAGCCTCCTGAGATGGACTATATTAATGAGTCCCCTATCTCTGTAGAGGATCTTGAGTCCCAGCAAGCATGAAGCAGATTAGGATCTGTCCATAACAGGACAGCAGAAAGGTCCACCATTTCCATGTCACTATCATTGCTCCCTGTAGAAAAAGCAAGGTCTGGTGTGTGCCTATAACAGTAGCAGTGGGGCCAGATACCACCAAGGTAGTCATGGTGGACAAAATGCCACGTGCCCAATCTGCCTTTATCCATCTTACTCTTTCTGGTGTCTAATAATTACCTGAACACCATGTTATACAAGTTTTCTTTCAGATCATTACTCAAAGTAGCACTCATTGTTCCAACTGGATTTATGTACCTATATTTTGAGCCCATTTATCAATGGTGTTTTCCACCCAACATGTCATTTGATATTTTTAAAAGTACACAGGCATCACCTTTTCTCTCTGGAGCTGCCAGACCAGCTCTCTTGTCACTGGGATACCTCAGCAGGCCACTCAAGGCAAGGGAGCCGCAGTGGCACAGTGGGTTAAACCCTTGTGCCGGCTGAACTGCTGACCTGAAGCAAATCAGCAAGACTGAGTTGAGCTTCCATTTTTCATCTTCAGCTTCCAATGCGGGGACATAAGAGAAGCCTCCTGCAGGCATCCCGTGGGCAACGTCCCTGCAGACAGACAATTCTCTCACACAGGAAGGGACTTGCAGTTTCTCAAGTTGCTTCTGACATGATTAAAAAAATCAAACTGCCTCTGTTTCTTTCCTCGGCCCTATCTACATCGGCCATTCAATGCAGTTCCAAACCAGGATCAAAGAGAGTGGTTTCGCCGTGCCAGTGATTACACAGGAAACCCTAGAACCAGTTTGAAGCCCAAATGGTGATGACACAAACCACAGAGTAGTAATGAGCATTAAGAACTTTCCTTCACAAACTCTTGTGGGAGTTTGTCTGGCCACCCTAGTTTGAAGCCAGCTTTGAACTGAATTATATGGTCAGTGTAGATGGGGGCCTTAATACTTGTGACCCCCCCCCCCCCAACCAAACAAACACACAAGTAAGGATATTAATGAGGCAGTTAGTGCCCAAAGGGAGGGAAGTCAGTACACCTGGCCTGACACTAATTTTATTTGCTGGTGCTGAAACAGGAAAGTGGGAGATTTGGGGATCTTCTGGTGCCAAAAGAAAAGGGCGACAAATCCAGACTTCGTCCCAATTTTGCCGGGGGGTGTTTTTCTTTTTCAGCCCACAAATAACACTATGTAACAAAATTAGATAAAATCTGTTCCTGGTTTGAAAGTGTTATTTCCTGTTTAATTGTGGCACTTGCTTTGAAAATAGTTGTTACACTCCAGAAACTTTGTTTTTGTGTCTGCCACAAATTATGCTGAATTGGTTGAGCTACATATTGAAAAACTCTAGCAAAATGTGATGCAGGATGGCCCACAGAAACAACACTTTTGCAGTTTCATTAACTTTTGTCATGTTTTTAATGATAGAACCAATTAGGAAATCACCCATTTATAACCCAGGAACAAGAATCGTGTTACTTAGGGCCCTTCCAGACAGGCCCTATATCCCAGGATCTGAGCCCAGGTTTTCTGTTCATCCCAGATTGGGTTGTTGTAGGTTTTTCAGGCTGTATGGTCATGTTCTAGAAGCATTCACTCCAGACGTTTCACCCACATCTATGGCAGGCATCTTCAGAGGTTGTAAGATCTGTTGGAAACTAGGAAAATTGGGTTTATATATCTGTGGAAAGTCCAGAGTGGGAGAAAGAACTCTTGTCTGTTGGACCTAGGTGTGAATGTTTCAATTGGCCACCTTGATTAGCATTAATGGCCTAGCAGTTTTCAAGGTCTGACTTCTTACTGCCTGGGGGAATCCTTTGTTGAGACGTGATTAGCTGTCCCTGATTGTTTCTTATCTAGAATTCCTATGTTTTTTTAATGTTGTTCTTTATTTACTCTTATGATTTTAGAGGTTTAGTAATACTGGTAGCCAGATTATGTGATTGACAAGAAGAAAACTGTCTCGTTCATGACCTCACAACCTCTGAGGATGCTTGCCACAGATGCAGGCAAAACGTCAGGAGATAATGCTTTTAGAACATGGCAATACAGCACAAAAAACCTACAACAACCCTGTAATTCCGGCCATGAAAGCCTTCAACAATTCATCCCAGATTATTTGGCAATGTGGACTCCTATAATCCAGTTTAGAGCAGAAAACCTGGGATCAGATCTTGGGATATAGGGCCTGTCTGGAAGGGCCCATAGTGCAATTGATAGTAAAGTGTAGGGCAGGCATGGACAAACTTGAGCCCTCCAGGTGTTTTGGACTTCAACTCCCACAATTCCTAACAGCCTACCGGCTGTTAGGAATTGTGGGAGTTGAAGTCCAAAACACCTGGAGGGCCCAAGTTTGCCCATGCCTGGTGTAGGGAGACAAATTGCTCCTTCCCACCTGGAAGACAGCAATTGTTTAACAATAAATAGGAAAAAAAACTTTGAGGTGGGGCTTTAAGATCCCCCAGGAGGTATCTGACCATTTGGGAGACTGAAGAGAGTGCTGGGAAAGAATGGGAAAGGTCCATCTACACTGGAGAAAGAATGCAGTTTGACACCACTTTGAACTGCCATGCCTCCATGCTATGGAACTCCCAGAGTTCTGTAAGCAATGAGAGTGACGTCACGCCCTAGTTTGAAGCCTGACAGGCCGAAGCGGAGAAGGGACCGCCCACTACTTCTCCAGGCCACGCCCATAAATTTGCAGTAACCCCGAGGCTACTGGGCTTGTCCCTACCAGGTTCCCGTAGTTGGGGAAAGCGGCGGTTGGTAGGAAGGAAGGAGGGAGGGCGCGCGGGGTCAGGTGACGGCTGGCGGGCCGATGGAGGAGGAGGAGGAGCTCCCTCAGCTGAGCGGCGACAGCGGCAATGTCTCTCAGAGCCACAGCAGCGCCTCCGGCCTTGCCGACGAAGAAGCCTCCGCCGCGGGTGGGGAGCCGCTGGTGCTGCTGGGCAGCGACTATGCCGCCTACCTGCTGCCCTCACCTTTCGGGCAGGTGAGTGAGCGAGCGAGCGAGGCGGCCTTTGCAGCTGAAGGACCAGAGTTTGGGAATTATTCGCTTAGGCCAGTGGTTCTCAACCTGTGGCTCCCCAGGTGTTTTGGCCTACGACTCCCAGAAATCCCAGCCAGTTTACCAGGTGTTAGCATTTCTGGGAGTTGAAGGCCAAAACACCTGGGGAGCCACAGGTTGAGAACCACCCGGCCTAGGCTTTAAAAAAAGGAAGGCATAAGTGGTTCTCAACCTGGAGTCCCCAGATGTTTTTGGCCTTCAACTCCCACAAATCCCAACAGCTGGTAAACTGGCTAGGATTTCTGGGAGTTGTAGGCCAAAAACATCAGGGGACGCCAGGTTGAGAACCACTGGCATAAGCCATGTTCTAATACAGGCAGCCCCGAGTTACAAACATCCGACTTGTAAATGACTCCTAGTTAGGAATGGGGCTGAAGCAACAGGAAGTAAGAGACATTTACCTTCAGGAAGGGAAATTCATTCCTGAAAGAGTTGTCATGGGGAAAAGGGTCACCACTGAAGCTTTATCTCGAATCCTTGTTTCCACAACAACATTTATTTATTTAGTTACTTAATTTGTACTTCAGGAGCCCCCGGTGGCGCAGTGGGTTAAACCCCTGTGCCGGCAGGACTGAAGACCGACAGGGGAGAGGCGGATGAGCTCCCTCTATCAGCTCCAGCTCCTCATGCGGGGACATGAGAGAAGCCTCCCACAAGGGTGATAAAAACATCAAATTATCCAGGCGTCCCCTGGGCAACGTCCTTGCAGACGGCCAATTCTCTCACACCAGGAGTCACTTCTGACACGAAAACAAACAAACAAACACACATTTCTACTCCGTCTTTCTCGACCTGGGAGAGGGCTCAAGGTGGCTTACAAATCGAGCAAAAATTCAAAGCCACACAGGTAAACAATAAAACACATCTCATAAAAATATAAGCAGTCTTAAGTATATAAACAATTAAAACACTATGTATTGTCAAAGGCTTTCATGGCCAGAATCACTGGATTGTTGTAGGTTTTTTCAGGCTATATGGCCACATTCTAGAGGCATTCTCTCCTGACATTTTGCCTGCATCTATGGTAAGCATCCTCAGAGGTAGTGAGGCATTCTCTCCTGACGTTTCGCCTGCATCTATGGCAAGCATCCTCACAACCTCTGAGGATGCTTGCCATAGATGCTGGTGAAACGTCAGGAGAGAATGCCTCTAGAACATGGCCATATAGCTCGAAAAAAACCTACAACAACCCAATTAAAACACATAGCAATCTATCAATCAGATTAAAACCACATATAAAATGTGAGTCGTGAGTCATGTCTCCTAGCTCCTTTGAAGTTGCATACTTCCAATCTTTCACCTATTTGTCCTCTGGACAAGTATAGATCCAACTAGTAAACAGTGTGATATAACAGGAATGAGAAAACATCTGTCTTGCCAGATGCTGTTAAAGATGTCAACAGTTCATTAACTACTGATTATTAAAACGAACACATGCATACTCTGGATAGCATAGGGAAGGGTTAATGCCCATACATACATACATACATACATACATACATACATATACACACACATGCATTCATCCTTTGGATACCATAGAGAAAAGTTCACACACACATACCACACAAGCCAATGCTATTTAGCCACAAATGGAAAAGATAAGCACATGATCATATATTTTGACAAATGGTAAATTTGCATGAAGCCCAAAGGAGTGGATCCACGACAAATAGGATATGATGTGTGTGTGTGTGTATGTATGTATGTCTATCTATGCAGACAGTCCTTGAGTTACAAATATCCAACTTGCAAATGACTTATAGTTAAGAATGGGGGTGAGACAACAGGAAGTGAGAGAAATCTACCCTAGAAAGGGGAATTCAGTCCTGAAAGAGTTATCATGGGGAAAAAGGGTCTCCACTGAAGCCTCATCAGCAGTCCTTGTTTCCACATAAAACCAACTTTTTTCAAAATCCAGTTGTCACCGGGACAGAAATAGAGGTGAAATCTTTTGAACAGGGGCACAGACAGCAAAACAAGCACTATTATGTATGTATTTATTTATTTACTTACTTACTTATTTATTTCAAACATTTATATCCTTCTCAACCCCCGAGGGGGAACTCAGGGCAGTTGTTAACTCTTATGCTATCCAAAGTTTATATGTATAGCTGGAGTTACACTTAAAAATGTACCTATTCTGACTTACAAACAAATTCAACTTTATTTATATTTTTATTTATTTTTATTACATACATTTTTATCCCGCCCTTCTCCCTACAAGGGGACTCAGGGTGGCCTTACATAAGCATCCAATGATGCTATCAACATATACACCAATAAAATTACAATTAAAACAATAAAATCCATTTAAAACATTATACAGATTCAATAAATAAATTCATTAACAATAAATAAACATGCCAATACACCAAAGCCAAGCCAAGAGAATCCAGTGTCGCAATGTCTGAAATTTTCTTTCATATTGCTGCTCCTTTCTAGTTGAACGCCTGGTTCCAGAGCCGGGTCTTCAGTCGTCTTCTAAAGGACAGGAGGGAAGTGGCCAGCCTGATGTCCTTAGGAAGGGAGTTCCACAGACAGGAGGCCACTGCTGAGAAAGCCCTATCTCTCCTCCCCACCAACCGCGTTTGCAAAGGTGGTGGGATCGGGAGCAGGGCCTCTCCTGATGATCTTAAGCTTCGTGATGGTTCATAGCAGGAGATACGTTCAGACAGGTAATCTGGGCCAGAACCGTTCAGGGCTTTAAAGGTTAAAACCAGCACTTTGAATTGTGCTTGGCAGCCAGTGGAGCTGATGTAACAGAGGAGTAGTGCGCTCCCTGTATGCTGCTCCAGTTAACACGAATTAAACTGTTCCACATATATGAAAGGACCCCCACCTTTGTTTCCAGGTTTATTTTCTGTTTTGTCACCATTTGTGTTTTTTCTTTCACTTTTGTTTTTGCAGATTGAAACCTTAGATAAGGGTCTGGAGGATTTGTTGACCAGGGTAGATGAGTTTGTGGGAATGCTCGACATGGTAGGTATGCTACTGAGAAATGTAATAGTTAACAATCATTCTTGTACAAGGTTGGCCAAAAGTCACTAAGGGGTTTCGGTATTTAAACTCCTTTGTTTGTTGTTTCTAATTTACAATACCATGTCATCATATATAAGAAATGCAATTTGCATTACATGTAAAATCTTTTCACTTGCCCCCCCCCCAAAAAGTTGTTAAAACATCAGGTGCCCTTGTGACTTTAGACTCACCCTGTATCAAATTCCTAGCAAATGACTGTCCAGTCTTCAAGCAAATCATATATTGAAAAAACCTTTTAACACTATGTAAACATAATAAATATTTCCAAAACTTCTTAGAAGTTTCAAAACTCCCTTTGATAATTATTTAAGAAGATAAATATTTTCTTTTTCATTTTTCTGCAAAGAAAAACAGTTGGCAGTCAGCTCTGGATTTTAGCTTATATTGCTGTACAATAGCCAGTTCTAAACAGTTGAATTGTATTATTGGAGTGCATCTTATTCTGAGCCAAATCCAGTCTTTAAAGCATGATATAAGTATACAGTTATAGAGGAGTCATGGTTGGGGTTATTTATTAAATTTATTGTTGAATTTATCCATTCAAGACTTGCTGCTACATTTGTAGGCAACATTGTCTGTTTTTTTCCAGATTCGAAGTGATTCCTCTCAAGTAGTAAATGAAAATGTGCCACATATTCATGCAAAGGCTGTGGAAATGAGGCAGCTATATAGAAAGATTGACAAATTGGAGGTTGGTGTTTCTAGTACTAATGTCAGTCTTTTTTTCCCAGGGCTAATATGGGAGGGGTTTTTTTTATAGTGCTGTGAAAAAGATGGTAAACATTTATAACTGTAGGTTATTATTGGTTTCACAATTGACCTGTCTTGAAACATCAGTGATATGCTTTTATTGAATGTACTTTATTGAGATGTGCCCTGCCTCAAGCTGTAAGGAGAAACGGGATAATGATGATGATGATGATGATGATGTTATATTACCTTTCAAAAATTCAAATTAATTCAACAATTCAAAATAAAAAGAAATCTTGGGGTTTATCTTCACTGTGCTGCCATTACTATTTTGTAATTATATAGTGATATAATTCTTCTAAAACATACATCTAGAACAGTTTTTCAAAGTTCCAAGTGAAAATTATGACCCATAAGACCCAATTTTCTTCTCATGTGCAAAATGTATGTTTGGTGTCATAAATAAAATTTGTGTTTATTTATTCCCATGATGTTAATCAACCATTTGATTGTGGGTCTTACGTAATATGATTAACTGCATTTTCTGACTTTAAAATAAAACTACTAAGCTACAAAATATCCTTTCAGTATTTTTTTTTGTGCTTCTATGTGATCTTGCTGAATCTTTTTTTCTTTTTCTCCATGCAATCAGGCCTTTGTTAAAATAGTTGGAAATAGTGTTGCTGGGCTGGAGGAACAGATCACAAAAGCAGAATCAGACCTTGGAACATTTCCAAATACTTTTAAAAAACTTCTACACACAATCAGTGTGCCATCTTTTCTTAATGTAAGTATTCTAATGATGAAAAGGCAGTGCCATGCATACACGTATGATATCTGAGCATCTATAAATATATTTTGGATAGGAATTTGGGTGGTCAAAATCTATCTGTGTTGAGATATTACAACTTTAGAGCCTGGAAATCAGTATAATGGAATGTACACATTACTTTCAAAAGGTAAAATAGGAGCAGAAAGATACATTTCAGCGTAATTTCATTTCTTGTAGTTGTATCCTATGCAGATATTTGCTTATAAAATGACAGTTTTCCCTGTTGCTCTTTTTTTAAGTGGGACGTTCAGATAGCTGGGTATTCAGACATATTATGATAGGAGAGCATGGCTTGATTTCTTAAGAACTTTCATAATAAAACATTTCATCTCTTTTCTGCCCAGACTATACCAGCACTTTCCAGGCAGATAGTAAGTTTTCTTTACCTCCATAGAAAGTAGTGACAATTTTGCTGCTTTTTTCCTTCTTAGGTCCCTTCTACACTGCCATATACAATCCAGATTATCTGCTTTGAACTGGGTTATATGGCAGTGTAGGCTTGTATAATCCAGTTCAAAGATGATAATGTAGATTATCTGATTTGAAAATCTGAATTATATGGCAGTGTAGAAGGAGACTTCGTTTCTTTTGGTCCTAAATGTTTATTCCCAAAGAGTGGTGATTTGTACATCTTCCTACATACACATTTCCCAGTGTCTTCTCACTCTGGAAAAATAGAATCACAAGACTTATAGAATCTGATTTCTATATTTTAAAAACCTTACTGGCTGTGGACTCTAAATTTTATTCCTTATTCTGGTGTGTGCAAATGTAGTAACTGAGATTTTAATTACAGAAATCATCTTCAAGGCAGAATCCAGCCTCTTATGAACCTCCTGATCTCTTCAAGACTGAAGATTACTTTCCTTGTCTTGGTGAAGCACAGAATAAGTGACATAACTGATGACATTTTCCAAATGATAGTATTGTAACTGGTTGAGCGCCAAGCTGGTCTTCAGGATGTTGCTCTTTGAAAACAAGTGTCCAGCTGCCTTCCTGTGTTTCAGTCTCTCATCTACTTTGCATATGTCTTGTTTTTTGCTTTGAACATGTTATTTCTCGTGTCTTCCTAAAGGCTCAGAAATATATATATATATGAGTGGCCAATCATATTATCAATTAGCCATATCGAACAGAAGGGATAGAGCTGTGGGATGGTGGAGAACAAGTGTAGTTTTGCCTTGCTGGTGCTACCAACTACTTTTCACAGATATGGGGAAAGAAGAAACAGCTATCCACCACTATCTCTTTTGCCTTGCCAAATTAGAAAGAGGCTTGGAAGACTAGAGTTGAAACCTAATATGAAAGAGATTTCTTCCTTGCATTTCACCCTTTGCCAAACTCCAGTCCCTCTTTGGCTTTGCTAGAATAAAAACAAAGAATTGGAGCAAGCAAATACTGTCTTCTGCAGCTTTGTACTTCTCCCCCTTCTGCTCTCCATGCAGGATGACAGAAGCCAAACAAGAAAATGCCCCCTTCCTTTCCAGGAAAAAACTCAAGAGGACCGGCAGAGCTGACTTAACAGCAACCAGTGGCCAGGACTGTAGTATATTTTTCTTTGCTAGCTTCTTTTGGAAATTTTGAATAATAAATGGCCTTCTTTAATTACTGAAAAAATGATGTAAGTAGGGAAAATGTATGTTTTGGAGTTTTGCTGCTACTAATGCTAATTTGAATATCACACAGATGTATTTTTTAATACGGTAGTTCTGTAGTACATTTCAGTGCAATAAGGACCAAATTATATGCATTCATATGTTTCTTGAATGCGTGCAGGTTTTATTCACTATCTTAGAGAAATCCGTTTGATTAGAGAAAAAGAAAAGCTCTGTTGTCTGAACTGTCTAAGAATAAAGGAAAACAGTAATATATTCTGATTGCTGTAACATTTCAGCAACAGCTCTCTAACAAAGTCCTTTTTGATGAGTATCCTAAAATATGTGTATATAATGCCAAAAATATAATGACCAAAGCTCTATAACTTAAAACTTCAAATAAAAAAATAATAGTTTTCCATATTGTGTACCAATTTTTAAACCACAAAAAAGTAAATTACTTCCTTTGCAGTAAAATAACCAGGTTGCAAAATTATCGTCTTTGGGTCTTTGATACTTCTGACTTCTTTTTATTCTTCAGTAGTGTTCAATCTCTGCCCCCAATGAAAGGATTAAAAAACTGTAAATGTTCAAAGACTTGTATATCTTGAGGTGTTTAGATTATGTCATCCCACAATAATGTATTTGAGGCAATCGTAACAAAAAATTAACCAATCTTTTAATATATTTACTTACTTACTTACTGGGTTTATATCCTGCCCTTCTCACCCCGAAGGGGTCTCAGAGTGGCTTACAAAAAGGGACAATTGGATGCCACACACACACACACACACACACACACACACATATATATACATATACATATATATACATACAATAAAACAAAACATAAACATTAAAACCCAAAAGTTAAAACACATCTTCTTAAAACCAATTAATTAAAAACCACGCAGTCCAAAGGCATATTCTAGGAGCCACTATGAGAGTAATATATGCCAAGGTTGATTACTTTTGGTTAAATGGATGCCTTAAATATGTTATTGTGGGATAACATAATCTAAACGTTTCAGTAGATATTGGCTTTTGAACATTTACAGTATTACTATACTTTTTCACAATCTCCAAGATCTGGTTTTCTATGTGTTGCAGTGTTCTGCACGAATGTTGGTTGGATATTTCTGCCACATTGAAGGGGTGTTGAATTGCAGCCAGAGTTCTATTTCTACCTTAACCATTTTCGTAATAGTTCCTGAAAGAAAGAGGGCCTTTTTGGGTTGTTGTGAGTTTTCCAGGCTGTATAGCCATGTTCCAGAAGCATTCTCTGATGTATTGCTCACATCTATGGCAGGCATCCTCAGAAGTTGAGGGATCTGCCATAGATGTAGGCAAAATGTCAGGGAAAAATGTTTCTGGAACGTAGCCATACAGCCCAGAAAACTCACAGCAACCCGGTGATTCCAGCCATGAAAGCCTTTGACAATAGGGTCTTTTCTTTCCTCCCACTTGTGGCTCAGTCCCGGTCCACCTTTGTTCTGAGAGCAGTATGGGAACAGGCAGCTTGATGACCTCCAAATATTTTGAATTATACTTAACCTTTGTCAAGTACCATGGATTCTGAGAAGGTTGATTCTGATCTTTCTCTTCCATCACCTTTCTTTGTATAAATGCTCCTCAAATTCAGCTATTCCAAAACAGCCCTCTGTACTCTGAATTTCACTTTATCCTGTTGTTCTAAAGATCAGGCACAGAAAACATGTTCTTTCCCCATATATTCATATAGAGCATCTCTCTCTCTCTCTCTCTCTCTGCTCATTTTCCACAAATAGTAATAATACTTGCTAAACTTTCTACGAACATGTTTAATGTCTCCACACTGCCTGTGTTATTACTTATGGTATAGTTTATACTTTATTCTGTTATGTTATTCTGCTTTAATGACTTCCTCTTACAGTAACCTTAAGTGACTGTATTTACTTGCAGGTCCCTCCTTGTTTTCAATGCAAATAAGTCTTCATTTTCTAGCTGCTCCTTTCTTGAACTTTTTCCTCAAAATCAGGTTGGCATAGTGCTTTTCGGTTGTTGCCAAACTGCAATTTCCATTAGCAGGACCTGTAGTGATACTTAAAGTTGTTACCCAAAACTATACTTTTCCCATTCCTGTTGCAAATATACTAATATACTAATTGGTGCATACTTATTTTGTTAAATTTCATCAATTCAGGAAATATGGTAAACATTAGCAATGTAGACAACATTCAAAGCCCAGTCCAAATGAATAAAAACAGCAAGAATCCTGTTGGGGGACTTGCAGTTCAGGAATTAGACCTATACAGTTATGTAATTTCCATATCCAGTAGAGGGCTGCCACCCAGTGTGCATTGGTACTGATGCAGAACTAGATTAATGTGCATCAGTCCCTACTGACATTAGGCACCTATGTACAGCAGATACCCTTGCTGGTGTCCCTTTATGCATCTTTGCAACTCAATAGAGGGGTTTCTTAGCACCTCTGCTACATAGCTAGATGTATGTAAAATCATATAGGATTCTGGCATACTGCTGTACCTTGAGAAAATGTAAGAACCATGTGTAAGATTTTTTTTAAATAGACCTAATTATGATCCCCTTCCGTATTAGTATAACCTGAGGTTAGCATACTGCTTCATCCGTATTTATTCCACACAGTTAAAATGCCAGAGTAGGTCCATGTTGTAGCCCACAGACCCATAGAAAAATAATACTTGCATTCACACACAGTATCACAGTAAGATTCGAGCTTTGTCCCAACCTGAGTCAAACACAACTACTCATGGTTCAAAGATATTTTACAATGCCCTCCCATGTTTTTGTTATGGAAACTTAAGGAATGCAAATTTAAGCAATAATAGATGCTGTTCTTGAGGAAACAAAACTAGTCTGTAGATCCTTTCCCCCATAAAGCCATTGTATTTTAGATATGACTTGATTTTTTTTTTTTTTACAAAATCTGGATATAAATTTGCACACATTGAAGACTGAATGCTTTTCATCACAACTATTATCATAGTGCTTTGGACTGCAAGAGGACTGAATTGTTAGCAATCAAACCCAATCCATCTTGAATGGGCATTTTTATCACACTAACCTCTGCAAAAAGCTACATCAGATTTCTGTGGTATAGTTAGTTCAAAGAACCAATTTCTGCATTACTTTTCCTGTTTTAGTTGTCAAATAGCATTAGTTTTGTCAGGATTTTGACAACTAGAATTAGACCTGCAACTCCGGCTATCAGACTTCATCTAAAAGATTACTTACTAAAAAGAGCCATATGGCAAATAACATTTTTCAACTTAGTGACAGAAATGTAGTTTATCATTATTTTAAAAAAAAACTTCTTTGTCAGGTTTGTGAGGCTCTCAGAAGAAAACATTTCCTCTATGAGGTACAATCTATCTCTTCCAGAAGCCCAACTTCATTAAACCTGACTGCTCCAGGAAGCCAAATTGTTCCCAAGAGAACATATATTACCCTTCTCCCCCTTTCTGGGAAGAGAGATTAAATGACCTGAGCATCAACGCCCTTCAACTTCCTACCTATAGCTTGTAATTCTATGTAATCTCCCTAAGACTACTACTTACAATGTTGTTTATTCCCATATGGACCAAAAGGAAGGAGTATCAGTGATGTCGAACCTGTGGCCAAGTGTTTTGGACTTCAGCTCCCAGAATTCCTGACCACTGGACAAACTGGCTAGGGCTTCTGGGAGTTTGGAGCCCAAATATCTGGAGGGTCACAAGTTAGACACCTCTGATTTATTATGGACTTGGCAAGCCTTGTCAGCCTCTCCATTACATCACATAACTTGTACTGATTACAAGAAAGGGCTTCAACACTTGATTTTACTGTTTTAAGCTATACCAGAGTAAACCAGACACAAGAGTCATTAAGAGAATTCATATTTGAACATGCCAGTTATAACCATTTCATAAATAACCTTTACACATGTATAACTGAAAATGTAATTTATTGGAACCCCTCCAAAAAATTACGGTACAAATTGGTAATATCCATTGCCACAGTTTGCAAGATTTAGAAGTCTGGACAGGAACAGTGTAGATTACCTATCACAATGTTAGGTTCAAGCATTATTTTGTACTCGTTTTACACCTTCATAAGCTCAAGGGTTTTTTTTCCATGTCAGGAGCGACTTGAGAAACTGCAAGTCACTTCTGGTGTGAGAATTGGCCATCTGCAAAGACATTGCCCAGCATCCTTTGGGAGGCTTCTCTCGTGTCCATGCATGGGAAGCTGGAGCTGACAGGTGAGAGCTCACCCCCACTCCCCAGGGTTTCACCCATTGCACCACTGGGGGCTTCATATGCTCAAGTGATACTTGATGAAGAAATAAAGGATGCATCCCCCTGGGAGATAGGATGGGTTACAAATAAGGTATTATGCTGCTCACCACTGAACTTCTATTCTCTATAGGCCACACCTGTGGAGTCAGGAATGAGCACATGCATTTTACAAGCTCCTAAGGTAACTTTAGCCAGGTTGTAATTTATGTTTGTCTGCACTGAATAAATACATTTATTTCCTCATAATGCCCCTGCAGGTGGGAGCATTTCTGCATAGGTGAATGAAGGCTAAATGTGAATTCATCATCACTCTCCTCTCTGAATGGCCAAGCCATCTCTTCTGACTATTGGTATTAATGCAGACATTTATGATCCATATACCAGTATCCTTGATGCTCTGCTCCCACATACATAGGGACTGCAGGTCCCTATCAACACCTTTGCCTTTCTGTTGGTGCATCTACTAGAAGGCTGCATTAAAGGACATTTGAAGTAACTGAACAACTTGTAATGCAACTGCTGAAACGTCATTGTTAGTAACATCTAATTTCACCTCAACAACATCATAGTAACTAGAAAAAAATCCAAGTTCAGCATTCAAAAGTTTTTCTATGTTACAGTAATAGTTTCCATTTATGTTAAGTAAAGCAATTTTGGTCTATTAAAGTCAAACATTTTGTCTTGAATTTGGGGAATGTGAAAACCAACTCATGTCCAGAAATAAAATAACAGCAGGAGCAAAATTTACCACTCTCAGCTCTATTCTCTTTATAAAGAATATCTGCTATGCTTTATTTAACTTTGAAAGAAACTGTTGTTTAACTTCTTTTAGTCACTGGGTTGTAGGTTTTTCGGACTGAATCTATGGCAGGCATCCTCAGCGGTATTGAGACCAACCTCTGAGGATGCCTGCCATAGATGCAGGTGAAACTTCAGGAGAGAAAAACCTACAACAACTCAGTGATTCTGGCTATGAAAGCCTTCGACAATACAGCTTTTAGTCAGCACTGATAAAAATAGCATTAAATCAGTTGAACAGCTTCAGGGCAGTGCAAATAAATATGAGTTTCACACATTCGGTTTTATATGTGAGCCCAAGGGCCAATGCAAGATCTTTCTACACTGGCACTGCTGAAGAGTTTATACTTGATCTCATATTCCAGATACAAGCTTCACAGGAACATGAATACATGTTAAATGGTACTTGGACATGCTTGCTAGGACCTAGCAATCCTTTGTAAACAATGCCAAATGGTATGCATTGACACCAGTGTATTCCACTGCTAAAAGATAAAGTGATCCCTACTAGGTATCTATCACTTTTTACTGAACAGCAAATCAATACTGGGAAAAGTCAGACAAAATGTCAGAAAAATGAATTCAATTTTTTGCATAATAATTTCCTGGGGAAAGAAGTTTAGGAAGTGTTTGTAAACCCTCCTCTGATGTGTGGCATTGTAGTGGAAGCAGTGTTTTTTTTTAGTAAGACTGTTACAGTTGATATTACTCCACCAGTACATTATATAAAAGTGGAGAGGCTTAGAGGGCAATATGAAAATCAGATTAGAAGCCAACATATTAAAAGAGTAGGATTTTTATTATAACTGTCTTAACCAGGTTTGAGATTTTACCAAAATTTGCATTTGTAAATACAATTGGTACTTTAAAAATACCTGGATGTCTTCCACTACTATATTTTATTTTATTTTTAAAAAAAACATGGGTCGAATAAACTGCACAACAAAATTAAAGAGACAGCCTCAATTATACTATACCCCACTGCCACAATGAACAATTGTTCAAAATTAAATGAAGCATTAACAGCTTTTGTATTACATTAATTTTCAAGAGCAGTGTACTTGGTGCATGTTGCCTGATTCTGTCTATTGTGCTTCCTCTCAAAATAGGAGCAGCGACAGAAAACAAGAAATTTGTCACAAATATTTGTAATATGGTGCCTCAACTACAACTCTTTATACATAAGCCCCAAACCCTCCATCCTATTTTCATCACTCTTGAATTAACAAGCAACCCATTTGAAATGAAAGCCTTCTTTCCACTGATAGGGAATCCTGGAATGCAATTCTTATCCTCCTGGTTGCTTACAACTTCATTCCTAATGTCCGAGTAAGGCTATTCCCCAACATGCCAGCCTCTACTTTTTAAAAACTAGTATTTCTAGCTTGTCTGGAGGGCAACAAGCCAAAGGTCCAGGACAATGCTAGGATTTTCTTTCTCTGAGAATTCCTGGTTATTACAGCCAAGAGACCACACACCATGCACTAGGATACTGCTCAGGAACAATAAGCCAGAATCCCCTGCAATTCTGTTTTATGGTTTGCGCAAATGTGGCTATGATTTACTAATATCGTAATGTCACAAGAAACTAAATTGAGAGAACTGCTGAAGTAATAAGTAATATTTCTTGCAGACCATAGGATTGTCTTTTTAAAGTTGCACATCTTCTGATACATGTTTCAAATTCAAACTGTGCTTTACATTTTTAAGTTCAGACATATTAAAGCCCAGAAGCACAGATGGCTGGTGATGGTGATTTTTTATTGCCCTTAGGCAGGTGTGTCTCTTTCTTCCAAAAAATGATGCAATATCAACTTTCCATGCGCAGAATATAGACGATAGTAATTCCAATTCCTTCTTAGTGGGATACGGATTCTTGTGAAAATAATCTGCAAGAAATCGTCTTTGAGCTTCATTTGAACTATATTGGAATGGCTTTGGATTTAACGCCAATATATGGAGATCCTCAAGTGAAAATTGTCCTTTAGTTTCTGCCTTATGATCTGTCTTTTGTCTTTTCAAAGGCATAAAATTCATGTCATTGGTTGGAATTTGGGACATATCACTATTTACAATTAGGAATGGCTGGTTATCATTCCTTTTATGTTCTGCAGCAGCATAAAGATGGTCAGATTGTTTCCTCTTGGCTGAAGGAGAAGGTGCTTCATGCTTCTCACCATTCACAGGTAGAGGCTCTTTTTTGATACTGAGTTCAAGCGGCAGCTTCACAGCTGATGTACTATCTTTTGGGGCACTTCGGCAACGGAGCAAATGCACAGCAATGGCAGTTAGAGTCATGTTGCCAGTGTATACACCACAGCAGTGGATGCACTTGAAACCAGGCGAGTTCAATATGGTATGTACAGTTGGCATGATATGGTGCCTATCCTTCAAATGGACCTCATATGCATTTGTACTAGTAAAAGTACTATAACAAAAGGGGCAAGTTGACACCACCTTATTGCCCTTATCCATTTCAGGCGCCTCGTGTTGAAGTTTGATGTATAGAGGAATAAGGGTCCTTGAATTTACCCCAGCTAGGAGTGCTAGGTACACGTCTCTTTCACAAAGTTCTTTTGCAGTTATACTGAAGTCAAAATGGGGAAACAAAAGGTCACCTTCAGAATCACTCTCAAGTTGAAATCCTTTGTCATCGTAATTGGCATGTAGTTTCTTCTGTCCTTTATGTACAGCTCTAGTGTGGTCCACAAGGCATTTTAAGTCATGGAAAATATGAGTACAGAACAAGCAAGTCAGGCCATGTGTAAAAATATGCTTCACAAGCTCTGACTGAGATAAAAAACATTTACAAGAAAAACATCGGACAGTCTTATCTTTAAGCCACCGCAAAAACGGTGCATAAGCTGCAACTTTGTCTATTTTAAGGGCAACCTTTGCCGCGCTTAATTTGTGAGCTACCTGCATGTGCACCTGATAGACATTTGATGGGAAAAGCTCACTGCAAACTGGGCATGTTTTCCACTGCTTAGCCTGTTTGAGGGCTAGGCTCATGGCAGTAGGAGACAGCTTTGTCTTGGCAGGAGTTGTTATAGCAGAAGATGGCACAGTAGCTGGAGCCTGAGAAGCTGGGGCAGATGGCATCAGATGGGCTGGCATCTGAGGTGGTGAAACAGTTGTAGCTTCACTACTAGGCGGACCAGGCAAAGCCATTGAAACGGATGCAAGAGTGTACGTGGGGATCCCATTAACTTGCTTTCCAGTTGGAATTAATTGTCTAAGTAATGGTCCTCCAGCGAGTAAAGGATTCTGAGAAACTCCAGGTCTGCCTGGCTGATTCACAGGAAGAACTCCTGGGGCTGTAGGCTGGTTAAACTGCAGAATCCCAGGTCTAACTGGCTGGTTTACTGGAAGAACACCTGGCGTGCCAGGATGATTAAACTGAAGAACTCCTGGAGTGACTGACTGGGTCACTGGAAGAACCCCCGCAGCACTGGGTTGATTCAAACTGCCAACAGGTCTATTTACAGCAAGGATCCCTGGTGAAGAAGGCCCGTTTATGGGCATAGTGCCAGGTCCAATGGTTCTATTTAGAGATCCAGCTGGCTGAGTAACCATTGAATTGCGAATTGTTTGCACTGACTGATTAACAGGAAGCAGACTTGACCTGACAGATCGAGGGTATGGCATGAGTCCTGAAGGAACTGCTCTACCTATTGCCCCTGCAGGCTGGTTGAAGCAGAAAACTCCTGGCCTTACAGGCTGTTTTAGGGGGAACCGATGGGAGACAAAAACTTGTTGGGAAACTGCAGATGCATGATTTGGATCTCCTGGGTGGGATCCAGACATAAGTGAAAGACGTGACTGAGCAATTGAGGTTAAAGGTGATGTATGGGAAAAATTACAAGAGGCACTTGAAACACTCAGTGGTCCAACTGTGTTTTGAATTGCATTTGTTGGCATCATATTTGGATTTTGATGAAATGGTGGAAGTGAAAGCGAAACACATGATGTAGAAGAACATGGCCCCGCTGAACCAGGTGAAAAGGCCTTGGCTGCGGAAGGCTTAGGAGCAATATTGATCATCTGCAGTGACTTTGCCTGACTTTTCTTCTTTGGCTGTACCAAAATGTCAGGCCCCAGTAAGTTTTCCAGGTCTCTGTGGACTTCTGATGTCAAAATATGATATATTAAAGAATCTCGACTGTTTGCAAATGCATTGCACTGTTTACAGTAGTGTTCAATACAATTCTCTTCACTTTCATCAGATCTCTCTTCAAAATATGTGCTCAATATGTTCTGGAAGTGGGTTACTAATACATGTTTCTTTATATTGTAATACAGTGTGTCTGTAAACTGGCATTTCTGACACGCAAAGTTTACTGCATCATTTCGGAACTGCCTCATGCCACCACTCACGCTATAGTTTTGTATTTTTTTCTTGGAATGAAACATCCGGAGATGTTTTCCCACTTTTTTGGAATGAGAAGCAAATGCACATTCTGGACAAGAGACAAGTACTTCTTGGTCCATTTCATCTTCATGGCAACGATTCAAGTGATTTTTGAAAGAAGCAAGATATTTTGATGAGAACTTGCACAGGCTACAACAATATGGATTTGTTCTGTATCTCTGCAAAACAAGTAAAAGACAACAACTGCTTCAGCAAACATTCACAAAATGCCTGAAAATACTAAATGATGTAACTGCCTTACTAACAACATAGAAAAGTTCCTCCAAGACTGGTCTTTATTAAATTGTTGAATGTACATCCTGCTTTTCAAAGTGAGGTTCAAAAGAATTTAGATCTATTTTAATAGGGTACGGGGTCTAATAAGGTTTTATAAAAAGCTACAGTTCTACATATTCACTTGTATACTTTTCTAGAACAATAAACTAGCAGATGTTCCTAATGGTGGAACTGAAGATTTATGTGGTAAGGATGCTTTATAGTGGTGCAGGTGGTGGGTGGGGCTGCCACCAAAACATTTATATATTGATCATAAGGTTTCAAATTATGGACTGTACAGGACTACATACCCTATCAGCAAGTCACAAAAACTATGCAGACAAACCAGCACTGCAACTTTCACATTTGTTTATACATGTGCCTTCAAGCTGCCTGTCATCTTATGGCAACCCAATTACTTTCATAGGGTTTTCTTAGGCAAGGAAAACTTAAGGCATGGTTTTTTACCTGTTCTTTCCTCTGGCTACATCTAGCATTGACATGTGTTCACCCATGCAAGTACTATCCAGGGATAATCCCGCTTAACTTCCATGATCAATCAGGATATCTTGGAAGCTGTGCACCTTACTTCATGAAATTATCCTATAGTCTTGTTTGCATAAAAACTCAACTAATTTGTGTTTTAATATCACTGGCTGAAGGCCCCCTCAGCTTATACTCGAGTCAAAGTTATTTTTATTTTACTCTATTATTGTTGTTGTCATTATTATTATTACATTTATAATTTACTCTATTATTCTTATTGCATTTATTATTTTATTCTATTTTTATTATTTATTGTTTTACTCTATTATATTATATTTATTATTTTACTCTATTATCACTGTTATTACATTTCCATTATTTTACTCTATTATTATTATTGGATACGTAAGCACATTTACATTGAAGAAGGTTAGAATAACGGTCTATTCAGAGTTGAATTTTAAATTAGTTTTATGTAAATATTCAGAAACATTATAAAACATTTAATCTACTGATGTCTCACTTCATGTAATTTTATGGGTATCTATTTTGAAATTTATCAGTAGGTGCTGCATTTTTCACCTTCAGCTTATACTTGAGTCAATATGTTTTCCCAGGTTTTTTGTGGTAAAATTAGCTGCCTCAGCCTATACTCAAGTATATACGGTAACTAAAACTAAACACTCAACTTTTATAAATATTTTCACATCTCTGCAAAAAGGGATTAAAACTTATGTTCCCAAAATAGTATTTTTTCCTTTCACCACGTTTCAAACTAAGGGAAATCTCAGAAGCATTCTAATTTCTTTCGCCAAATGACAAAAACATTTTGATTTAAGCAGACCTTTAATGTATAAACAAGTGCCTTTTTACTGGGCACGTTTTTATACATCTTTGAGTTTTTGGATGCTTTTAATTGAGTTTAAAATTCATTATATGATTTTAACTATTTTTACGTTATATGGTACATGTTTATAATTTAAGATTTTTGGAAGACCCCTTGAGTACTGCTCTGAAAGACATATTAAAATAAGCAAATAAATAAAATATAGCAATGGATCAACTGCTCACAGCAAAAAATGTTTCTTAAAGGCCCCAAAAGTATGCCCAAATGTCTGGCTTCAAATAATCAAACTTTGTAAATAATAGTTAACCTTCTGAAGGATAGTTTCTGAAAATTATAGTGAATATACATACTCGTCTTTTAGGCACAGGCTCCAAATGAGACACATCGCTCCATGAAGTGTTGTAGAAATATTTTTCTCCTGGATCAAAACGTTTCAGAGTCTACGAAGAAACAGTCTTGTAAGAACAGCACATAATTGGGAAAATGCCATTTTATACAGTTAACTGAAATAACATTATTGTATTCATAAACACTGATTTCAAATCTAAATTATCATAGAAAATTTTCAATAAATCCTTTAAAACTGATGGGGAAAATGAAGTAAATCCTTAAGAACCTACACCCTCTCAGGATTAAGGATTGACTATGTTTCCATACTTGTGGTGTTTCAGATCCACAGAGATCTTTTCCTCAAAGTAAAAAGAGGCACCCTGATTTACAAGAAGGCAGCTTATGGGTCTTACACCAGAGGGCAAAAATAGCACAACTGCTCCCAATGTCCCTGGAAATAGAAAAAACCTAGTTTAAAATTGCAGAGTGAAAGGGAGACAGAGGCACGGGGGGAAGTGTGGCCCTTTAACTGTCAAGTACACAGAAGGCTCCCTACTCTAAGCTGTATGAGATATAAAACAGTGAAAAAACTGATCAGTATGCTCAAGATACTTCTCAGGTAAGATTCCTCCATGTTCCAAGAAGACTGAGACTCAAGAGTGAGCTGCATGTACTCTCTTAGCTGTATCTAAAAGTTATGTTACTTACATATATTAAGATTTATAAATTCCAAGACCCATGTCCTTATTATATTGGGACTCAGTATCAATAAGTACTGTGACAGATTTGCTTGACTGTGTTAAAGAATACATGACAGGATAATTCAATACCACCAATTCTAAATGTATGTTAAAAGATGGACATTCATCAAGTAACAGCTCACCTTACTATAACTGATATTTATTTATTTATTTATACCCCACTTTTTCTCTCAACAAGTAGACTCAAAGCAGCTTACATTATGCAATATGCAAACATTAAAACAGGATTAAATATTATTGGTATTTTTTTAAAAATGAGCTTAAATTCATAAAACTAAAACCCACAGCACCCACTTACTTGATCTTGAAATCCTTTAAAGGCCTGGCTAAATAAAAATGTTTTAGCCTGTTGCCGGAAGGACAGCAGGAAGGGAGCCATTCTGGCTTCCATGGGCAGGGAGTTCCAGAGTCGAGGGACAGTCACCAAGAAGGCTCGCTCTCTCCTTCCCACCAACCAAGCTTGAGATGGGGGTGGGACTGAGAGAAGGGCCTCTCCCAAAGACTTGAGCCATCTAGGGCCTTAAAGTCATAACCAGCACTTTGAATTGTGCCCGGAAAGAGATTGGCAGCCAGTGGAGCTGCAGCAAGTTGTCCGCTCCTTGATTCTATGATTCTATAGGGTTTTGGAAGAAAAGAAGGCGGGGGGGGGGGGGGGGGGGGGGGGGGTCTGGATGGCAAGGAAAAAGAGTCTGTTCTCCAGAAGGACACTGCTACTGCTGTTTCGGCTCTTCAAAGCGCTCTAAACTTTAATTTCCCTGCATTTCTCAGGAGGAGGAAAGAGGTAGCAGGAAGCAGTATGGCATCATGGAGCCCCTGACTATCACTTGTGGAGCCCCAAGGGCTCCACGGAGCAGTTTGAAACACCCTGAACTAAGGCATGTACAACCATGACCAGATCTGGCTTCTCTAGGAACGAGCTCAGTTGGTGCACAAGTTTTATTTTTTTAGGGAAAGGTAACATCTGGAGGTGAATATATTTTCTCCAACTCATGTGTCAAAGCCAAGACTTGTGGGGCAAATCCGGCCCTCTGGGTCATTTTATGTGGCCCTCCAGATGCTGGACTACAATTTCTGCACACCACCCCCCATCATGACTAGAGCTGATAGGAGTTGTGATACAGTCACATCTGGAAGGTTGCAGTTTGTTCTCTTTAGTCAGAATAGTGGAGGATGAATTTAGATACAAGACTTGTGGATATGATGTCAAGCCTTAAAACGTCCTTTAACCTTTCCCCAACCTCAGAGCCACTAGCACTGTTGGATTGCAATTCCCATTATCCTCAGGCTGCATGACAGATTATCAAAAAGGATAGGAGCTGTTGTTCAATAACATCTGGGGATCCGAACTGGGAAAAACTAAAGAACACTAACCACTATGTAAAAAATATAGTTGGCTCTTTGTATACACAGATTCTCTGTCCATGGATTCAATGGCTCTTTGAAAGCAACTATGAGGCTGATGTGGCCTTTGATGAAAATCAATTTGACCTAGCTACATTACTTCGCAGTAGAGTGGCCTTATCACAGCAGTAGTCCACTCAAGGCAGCACAGCAGACTACTCTCTGCTAAGGATTGTGCAGCACACACTTACTTTCTCCTACTGTGCTGCTGAAGATCAGTTAGGTTGCGGAGAAATAGCACTGAAATAGTGACCCAGATTGGGTCTCTCATAGTTGAGGTCTACCTATGATGTCAATTACAGGCCTCTCTCATCTTTTTAAGTGGGAGAACTTGTACAAAAGGTATCTGACTAAATGCTTTTTTCCTCACTGTACATCCCTTTTTCTGTAGTCCGAGGGAAAAAAAAATAATCTGAACTGGAAAGTTATGGAGAAGCAATTGGAGGTTTTTGCATATCTTTTCAATGCATAATTCCACAAAGAATCAAAGGTGCTATTTATAGGAAAGATCACTACAAGGCGATTGCATTGTAATCTTTTTCAGCAGTTACAAATTCAAAATATGATTTCACAACAAAAACATTCAGTTAAATAGATTATATTTCTTTACGTGAATTAACTCCCGACAGCTATCAAGTCCAATATCCACAAGAATCCGCTTCACTTTCTTTCGAGCCTTCCTTATACAATCAAGATTTTGTACAGGAATCTGGAACATGATGAATTTTGCCTATAAAAAAAAGAAACAACAGTGTAAGTACCGTTTTCTTTTTAAAAACCTAAAATTGATTTTTGTGGCTTACGATTTTGACATGTTTAATGTTTATTTTAGCAGTCATGGACACTATTTATACAAGGCGTCCATAAAGTCTCTTTACCAGGTAAGCCCTGAAGATGATGCTAGATGATTGCTGTTCAGCTTTTTTACCACTAACCTGTGGAATCTACAAAAGCTCTGTTTTACTGCCCATGCTATTCAACGCATGTATATGTGCTTTCAGGCCATTGGTGGGAACCTGAAGACACTACTTATCTATCTAAAATTTAAACTATGAATGTCTGTCTGTATTACAAAGGCTCTTACTGGGTGACAGCCCAGTGGCCTTTTGTGATGTCACCGAATTGGTTGTTGCTAAGAGAAAGACTGGCTGTTAACAGGCAAAGTGGTTGTCTGTGATGTCACTGGGAAAGAAAGGTGACATGTCTAAGAGGGGAAGGGAGGAAGTAAGGAGCCACAAAGCAAGCCATGTTGCCATGGAGACATTATGAGGCTCTCTCAGAGCTGGAGAAGAGGGGAGGGGAGGGGGAGAAAAGGAGGGAGGGAGGGAGGGAGTGAAAGAGAAAGTGTTGAGTTTCATCCCTGGCCTGCACAGGTTTTTGTGTCATCAAGTTTCTAGTCATCAATGAATAGCTAGACTAGAGACAGCGCTAAACTGAGGTATTCCTTTCCCCCACATTCCCATGCATGTTTCCCAAAAGGGCTTTGTTTTTTGCCTGGACTGCTAGCCACTGTTTCCTCCCCCTTTGGTGACGTAGTAATTTAATTTCTGTGAGGGAATTTTCCTTTTAAGTTCAAACTGCCCTGGGTAGACCATGAGGTCTCAACCATTTTAGTGTTCTGCTTTCCTTTCTCCCTGTGAGGACGCATTTTGCCTCTCTTTAGGCAAAATGTAGCTGCATGGATTTTTTTTACCTTGCGTCTTCTTTAGAAGGTATTTAGTAAGCTAATTAGTGCCAAGACCTTTTCTATCAAGAATGTATTTCTTTTTTACTTCAATAAAATATTTTGAGCCCAAAGTTCTGACTCTGCAATCCTAAGCCACCCTAAGCATTACGAGGCTATTTCTGCTCATCACACGTAAGTTTCTGCTGGTCAAGGAGTTTACTCTTGGTACTCTGCTATATTTTGATGGAATTGCCCCAACTGAGGGTTATTTATGAGCCTAACAGTTCAGATTCCCCAAAAGAAAGAAGGAAGGAAAATGGGAGTGGTGGCTCCTCCAACACCCAGCAATTGCTGAATAAATACACTAGTGTATTTATGAATATGACAAATCTTTGCCTGTATCTTTTCTGGGGCTTCAAATTTTCAGGAAATTTAACAGATCACTGCTCTGGGTTGGATTCTGACTATCAAAATTTAGAAGAAATGCACTGAAATGAATGGGAAATAAGTAAGTCATCATTATTATTGTCATTATCATTATTACTACCACCCTACCTTTATCTCTTTGGTTGAGAAAAAAAGCAACTCACAATATTTTAAAAAATCAATGCAATTCTTCTTCTTTCTAAGCTATTTTCCCAATAGAAGGGTTAGAATTGTGACTGTCACTTCCACAGGGCTTTGTTTTGGGTATCATCAGGTCTCAGGTTGGTAACACGTATGTCTTCGTTGATGGTGACCATCCATCTTTCTTTGGCTGTCCACGTGGTCACCATCCTGCAATCTCCAAATGTAGTGCTGTTTGTGCTACGATGTTGGGTCTCTTCTCATGACATGGCCACCTTGCTTCCTGCATTTCCTTGCTGATCGCTTTTATTTCTAGTCTTCGACGGATGTCATCATTTGGCGCATGGTCAAGAAGTGTCTGCAGCTGTTGTTGGAGGGTTGCATGTTTTTGGTGGCCGAGTGCTACGTCGTCTGCATATAGGAGTGTCCAGGGATGCATAGTCTGCAAATCTGCTGTAGCAGTGTCCATGCAGATTATGAATAGTAACGGTGAGAGTGCTGATCACTGATGCACACCAACAGTGATGTTGAAGGGTGGTGAAATCCCTGCAGGGCAGCAGACCACACCTGTTGTATGATTGTATAGTAGCTTTATCCATGATACATAGTTTTCTGGTATTCCATGTGACCATAGTGCTCGCCAGATCAGGTCATGACACAATAGGTGTTTGTTGTTTACTCATTCAGTTGCTTCCGACCTCATGGACTAGCCCACGCCAGAGCTCTCTGTTGGCCGTGGCCACCCCCAGCTCCTTCAAAGTCAAGCCAGTCATTTCAAGAATACCATCCATCTATCTTGCCCTTAGTCTGCCCCTCTTCCTTTTTCCTTCCTTTCCCCCCAGTATCATTGTCTTCTCCAAGCTTTCCTGTCTTCTCATTATTTGGCCAAAGTACTTCTCATTATTTGGCCAAAGTATCCTTCCCTCCAGTGAGCAGTTGTACTTTATTTCCTGGAGTATGGACTGGTTTGATCTTCTTGCAGTCCAAGGCACTTTCTGAATTTTCCTCCAGCACCACAGTTCAAAAGCGTTTATCTTCCTTCGTTCAGCCTTCCATATGGTCCAGCTCTCACATCCGTAGGTTGCTACGGAGAATATCATTGCTTTAACTAGGCTTATTCGGCGGTATGTTGAACAATTGCAAATGTCTCCTTTGTCCTGGTATACTGGTAGTCCAGTCCATGGAGGTGATTTTTCTGTTGTCATTTTGTTGAATAATGATGCTAGAAAGATAGCACCACAGTCTTTCAGCATTTTCCAAATTTCAGCTGGTATGTCATCTGACCTGGTGGCCTTTCCGTTCTTCATTTTTTTGTATGACTGCCTTTACTTCAGTGGCTGTGATTGCTGATGCAGGGCCAAAGACTGGAGCAGGGCTTATTATTGGTGGGTGGGGAAATTCTATATTACTAATGATGGAAAAATAGTCACACCATTTTTGTAGGATGGATTGAGTGTTACTCAATTATTTTACCATTTTTACCCTTGATGTGCATCACATGGGTAATGTCCTTTGTGTTGCACACTAGGTCAGGAACACCTTTCCACCCAGCATCGAACAGTGTCCAGTAGCTGTTCACTACAGAAGTTTGTTTACAAAAGGCATATACAAAATGGGGAAAGGGCCTTTCTCCAAAGGCAGTAGAAAAGGTGCCATAAAATAGCAATAGTCCAAATTATAAAGATCAATAGTCCAAGATTGTAATGTCCATGAAATCCAAGGTAGCAAGAAACATGAAATCCACTAAAGCAAAGTACATGAAGTCCAGAATAACAAGGTACATGAAAAATCCAAGAACTCATAGCATAATCAAAATTCCATAGCATGTAAACAAGAACTTAAGTAAGGCAAAAATCCATACAGGAACATAGGCAAACTTGAGAGCTAGTCATGAACATGAAGTTAACACAAAGTTGTCTGCTCTGAAGAGCCCTGGGAAACTGAAACTAATTTAAACTCAAACCTGACCCAACAAACATGAGATCATCTTTTCTGCATCTTTGTTTCAAGGACGGTTTCTCACGAATTCTTTCTGACTTTCTAATTAACCTTCCCTTAACTGTAATCTCATATCACGGAGCCCTAATCTCATATCATGGGGCAACTCCCCATCTTCTAAAAGCTGAGAAGACTGGGCAGATCAATTCTCAAGAGAAACGTTTTCTATCTCTTCTGCAGCTGTCAGCCCTGGCCTGTCTCTGTAATCTATGGCCTGCATTCCTGTCTGTGTTTCAACCAGAGGAACAGACACAGGGTCAGTGAAAATCTCAACCTCAGAATAGAATCCCCAGCATCCTACTGAACCCCAACTTTATGTTATCCTTTGGTATGATTTAGCAAGTCAATACACTGTGTTTGCTCCTTTTGGTGTATCTCATTTATCATAGATTTGTTGGTAACAGGCTTTTTTTTTTCATCTGTTACTACATGTTTTGCTGCTGATTTAAAATCTATAATATATGAATATTAAAACAGAATTAAACATACATATCAATTTAAATCACTTAAAACACAAATTTTAAATGGGCAAAGGCACTCCTGGCCACCATAGAAACCTGGGCCTCCAGGCAGCTCAAGGCTGAATCCAAGAGTATGCCTAGGTACATTAACTAGAATTTTACTAGACCTAGGTACATTAACTAGAATTTTACACATTTCCATTCATATCATCACGTGCTATCACTCGTGGCTGAGTATGATTGTCTTCCAAGTGTAGTCTTGGCGGTTGGTTCCCAAATGACTGTAGAGAATTATTCAGCATCCACACAGTCTTTTGCAGTGAGGCTATACATTTCCAGATGGAAGGCGGTCCCAACAAGGGTTTGCTTGATGTGCCTTCCTCTTGATACATTTCTCAGTTTCGCCCTCTATTTCTATTACACCTATTTCTATTACATTTCTATTACAACTCCCCATCCTTGCCATTTTCTAAGAGTCCAAAACACTGCAAACTGTGCTCATAGGCAGTTTTCTCCTATTCTTTGGCGTTTTCCATCTTTCCAACATTCTTTTTAAATGTGATGACTAACAATTGTATTCAGTAGTCCAGTGGTGGCCAGAGCATGGATTCATATGCAATAATAGCATTATGACATTAGCTGTGTTCCATCTTGGAATTTTCCTGTTTTACAGCAGCCATACACTGGGTTGAGAAATTTCCAGAGGTATTAACTATGATCTCGCAGACCTCTTGGTCAGCTGCTGCTAGATCAAATCATATCAGAGTACTAGCGTATCTACTAGGCATGTGCGATCCATGGTTCTAAAGTACTTACAAAACTAGGGGGCGCTGGTGCTTTGTTTCTAAAGTGTTGGTGGTGAAAATTTCAGAACTCTAACAAAACTTTCAAAATTTCACTACTGTTAGCTCAAAAAAATTCAGAACCTTTGACTTATCCACAGATTATGGGATCAGGCATTCACAGAAAAGTTTGTTTACTGGGAAAGGCAAGATTTATTGGACTGGGCTTGGACTACTTTGGATGACAATTTTAATT